GGAGGGGAAGCCATTGGCCACGCCTCCCCCAGTGGTACCCATCTTCTCTGCAGGCTCTGTTTGAATAATAGTCAGAAAGAAAGAAAAGAGACAGGATGTTGTATCAACATTTCAACGGCTCATCTTTTAACTAGCAGAAAATGACAGCTCCTAAACATTCAAAACCATTTTAGAAACTTCTAGAGAGAAAAGGTTTTGCAGCCCAGGCAGCTGGCTGGCATTTGCCTTTCTCCTCCCCATTTCTCCCACCTCAGCTCTCTCCAGCTACGCACTCCTGGGTCTACATGTGCAGCCCTGTTTATCTGACTGTGACTCCCAACCCGAACTCTCAGCTAGATGGGTCCAGCTGTGGTCCCACCAGCTGCAACCAGCAAATCAGCAACGTTGCACCTCCCTCCTGCTACCTTTGCCAATTTCCACCCCCATCCTTCATGTCATCTGGGCTGAAAGCATTAGCCTGGGGACAGTCAGAGCCCCTCACTTCTGCAAAAGAAGCCTAACCTCCCTACGCAGCACTCAGTGCCCAAGCCCTCCCCACCCCCTGGCCCCCTACATCTCCCTTGCTGGCTGTAAGCCACCGTATCCTGGGCTCACAGGTGTTCTTCAGCCTCTGAGTTCTCCACTGGGCTGCTCCTCTCCTCCACCTTCACAAACCCAACTCCTCCTCACTCTCACAGCCCTTATCAAATGCCACCTCCTCCAAGATGCCTCCTTGATTCCTCAGCTGGTAATAGTGGTGACAGCAGCTAACGTGTTGGCCATATGCCAGGCAAAGAGCTAGCACTTGACATTCATCACTTCATTTCATCCACAGAACGGCCCCCAGCAAGAAGTATGATTTGTATCATCCGCATTTTATAGCTAAGAAAAATGAGTCTGAGGGAGTTTGGCAAACTTACCCACAGTCCTGTACACCAACTGAAGCAGAGTTCTGCTGACCTCCACAGCTCACCACTGTACGCACGACTCCCTTCCCTCAGTTACCCAAGGCATGCTATCTGTTTGAACATTCCTCCTTGCATTATAGCTAATTATGTAGGCCAGTTGTTCAAGAGCACAGTTTTGTTCTTCACTTTTATCTCTAACAAATAATACCTGTTAATATTTGACAACATTAAGTACTGTAGTATTTCCAGAGGAAAGACAAGCAGTCTTCAGCCTGGTCCCTCAGTAGTCCCGATTCCTGACTTCCTGTGGCTCCATGTCCTTTTCATCTCTGTACCTGGCCCACAGTGGACGATCAGTGCATGTTAACTGTCCACCATTGGCTATCCATTGAGTAATTACTATGTATTGGGTGCTGGGCTCAGTGAAGTTGTAGTTGTTGTCTTAAATTATTCCTCCCCAGTCCCTAAGCCCTACTCTCACCAGCCACCTGGGCCACCTTCTTGAACCACAGCCAGGCCCCACTCAGGTATTGACACTCAGGTTGAACCCAGGAAGACTTGACATCCACTCTTTCCTGAGGCCCATGTCCGGGTGGATAAATTCGCTAGCATTAAATTTGGCTGCATTTAGCAGAGAACCAAAATAACAGTGGCTTAGTCAAGACGGAGGTTATGTCTCTCTCCCACACACAGCACAAGTCCAGGGATGGGCAGTCTGAGGCCAGTAGGTCACCTCGGCTCCACAAAGTCCTCAGGGAACTGGACTCCAGCTCCCTACTCCATTCATAAGGTGAAGCCCTCAGCCTCCTGATCCAAGATGGCGCCAAAATGCCGGCTGCCATGTACACAAAACAGGCATGGGATGGAGGAGGGGATGAAAAAAGGAGAGGCAGGGGCGCCTGGGTGGCTCAGTCGGTTAAGTTCCGACTTCAGCTCAGGTCATGATCTCACACCGCGTCGGGCTCTGTGCTGACAGCTAGCTTAGAGCCTGGAGCCTGTTTTAGATTCTGTATCTTCCGCTCTCTCTGACCCTCCCCTGCTCATGCTGTCTCTATCTCTCTATCTCTCTCTCAAAAATAAATAAAAAACAAAAAAAGAAAAAAGGAGAAACAAAGTCACATAACCTGAGAGCTGCCACATAGCACCTCTGCTGAAACTTAACTGGCCAGACTTAATTTTTTTAATCTTTATTAATTTTTTAAGGGACAGAGAGAGAGACAGAGTGCAGGCAGGGGAAGAACAGAGAGGGAGACACAGAATCCAAAGCAGGCTCCAGTCTCTGAGCTGTCAGCACAGAGCCTGATGCGGGGCTTGAACTCACGAACTAAGAGATCATGCCCTGAGCCGAGGTCGGATGCTTAACCAACTGAGCCACCCAGGCGCCCCTAATTGGCCAGACTTTAGTGGCATGAAAAATGTTGTATTTATTGTGGATGGCCACATCCCCATCTAAACTTGGATATAAATTACTTGGGAAGAATAGATATTGGAGACAAGTAGCAGCCTCTACCAAAACGGCTTGGTCTGTTCGTGTTTGTGTACGTGCATATGATGCATGCTATGTGTGTGAGCACGTGTGTTGTGTGTGTTGGTGGGCCACGTTCTCTCCACCACTTTGATCTCAGATGGACTTGTTCTGAGTTCTCTGTGGAGCTCCTCTAAATCTGGCCTCTCCTCTCAGGCAGATTTAGCATCAGCTTCTCAATTCAAGGAACTACAATGTATTTGCCGCATCCACTGATGAGTATTATCAGTGGTGATTGAGGGGCTTGTAAAACCGTTTTCCCACTCAGGTGTTACTGGGTGGCCATTATGTGAGAGCGACTATGACCAGAGTTAATCTGGCAATAAATTCTCTTGGGAAGGAGGGTGTCATTAACACAAGAATCCTAGCAAAACGTACCACTCAATCTTGTGCCACAGGGGAAACACCCAGAAATACCAGGCACCCTGTAGAGATGACCCAAGGTGAGGCAATGGGCCAAATGCTAGATTCCACGTTGATTACAGGTGGTGTTGCCCCAGTGTTTCAAGCCCTGCCCAGTAATCGCACAATTCCGAAATCGCTGACCTTCCTTACCCCCCACCCCCTCACCCTTCAGCACAGATAAACACAATACACAGGGGCGTGACAAGTTCATCTCATTTGCTCCTTGAGCCAGGTGGTATTATTAGTTCCATTTTACTCATGAGAACAGATGCTGTAGAGAAGTATTTGCCTAGAGACTCACAGCTAAAAAGGCAGAGCTGCTGCTAGAGCCTCGGGGCGTAACCACCATACTTTCCACCTTTACTAGGGTTCATGGAATCCTACTGGGGATTAGCACTATTTAACTCCTGTCTACATACAATTGGCCCAAGTGTTTACTCAGGTAATCAGTAGTCAAGAGAGGGACTTAAAACTTTTTCAAGAAAGCAAGCAAGCACAAAAACACCAGAAGTGCCCCCTCCTGAATTACTTAGTATTTTTCGTATTTGAAGTTGATATGGTGGCACAGTCTCATAGCTTCATCCTAGAGCGAGGTATTTGTTTCCAAGGGCCGTGGTCTCAGGAGGTGCCTGGGTTGAGCATTGGGGGGAGGGGTTTGTAATTTGGGGCTCTCCTTCAAGGCTGGAGAAACCATAGGGTGGGGAGAAAGCACCCCAGGCTTCCTGGGTTAAGCAGAACCCTGAGTCTGCTTGTCTGACTTTGGGCAAGTTAACGCATCTTCTTGACCTTAGTTTTCCCACTTCTATAAAATTCAGATTAAAAGCATACTTTGATCCAGCATAATAAAGAATATATAAACAGCTGCTTATTTCTATTGTATTGCCAGAATATGAATTATACTAATATTGCCACCTGTGGACAGAAAATGTACCATCTATTTTTATCAATACCCAGATGAGGCAGAACATAAAAAGAAGAGATTAACTTTTTTTCGCCATCTCCCGCACCTTCATGCTAATATTTACTTACATTTGATTATCATTTCAGGCTCATGCACACATACTTAGCATGGATCACAGACTCGCATACATTTAACTTTATTACCTTTTGTCTTCCTTGTCTCCTTAAAACTGCTGCTTATTCAAGGATCTGCATACTATTAGTATTGGAATTCATTGTTCCGTGACTTTGAAAGTGACAAACATTCTGGACGAACATGTTATACAGTCTCTCCCATCTCCATGCCTTTATACCAGCTGTTTTCTGGCCTCTTGTGGCCACCACTTTCCATTCTTACTAACCCCTACTTGGTCTTTAATACCCAGCTCAGGTGACACCTCTTCCAGACAGCCCCCCTTTGTACTCCTGTGATATATTGCACTTGTCCTTGTACAGTTTGTTCTTCCCTCTGTTGGAATGGCCTGCTTCCCCGCTTATGTCTCTTATTAAAGCAGAAGCCACCTGAGAGTAGAGAACATCTGTCATTCACCATTGTATCCTTGGTGCCCGGCGCTGTAGCTGACACATTAGCAGACCTTCCGCCAGTGTTGGGTGGGTTCAGGCTCCCAGCGCGAGAGAAAGGAAGTAATAAAGGCAGTGATAAATGCCATCACAGAGGTATCAGCAGGCTGCTGCGGGAGAGTAATGGAGAGGACAAGTAACGTAATCTCTAGTAATAAGGGAGTAATAGAGTACATTTCACAACACCTTTAAAGCTCTTGCACATGCATTATCTAATTTGATCCTCATAAAAGCCTCGAAGTAGGTATATTGCAGGAGATGGAGGTGGAGTTTTTCATGGTTTTGTGCTATGCTTAAAGTCATGTAGCTATTAAATGGCTGGATTCCGACCAGTGCATAAAAGCTAGTTCTTTTCCTCACAGCATGCAGTAAAGTCGAATCATCACCACGACGTCCATTTGCTCATGCCCTGGCTTATCGTTCTGTGATCTATCTCACACCACATCATAGACTGGTCAGGCCTTGCCTCCCCAAGGAAATGAATTTCATTGATGTACTTCTGGATAATGAATTATCTTTGACTCTGAGGAGATGATTGGTGTGGCAGAAAGCAAGTCTCATTTTTATCTGTATCTGAAAATACGGTTGGTCACAGGGCATATGGGGGTTTTCTGAGATAACCAGTGATTTGCTACGTGTGGTTCCTTCTGTTTGCAGGCCCAAGAAGTACATCCTGGGAAGGAAAATGCTTTGTGGACCCTTGTGCCGAATCCTGTGGCTTTGGCCCTATCTGTCCTATATTGAAGCTGTGCCGATCCGAAAAGTCCAGGATGACACCAAAACCCTCATCAAGACGATTGTCACCAGGATCAATGACATCTCACACATGGTAGGGAGAGCCTGGGAAGACAATGGGTTTGCCCGTGGGTAAAACCAAGACCTCAGATGTTAGCTGAAGCCTATGCAGCCACATGTAGAGGCCGTGGTGGCCTTGACTCCTCCTTACAGCACAAACAGCTGCTTTTTTCTCTTCCTCTCCCTCCCATCTCCCACCTCCTCCCTCTCTTTCCTCCCTGATGGGAATCCTAGTGCCTAGGACTGGAGGGAAACATAAAGGGTCCTTGTGTCCCATTGGCAGGTGACCAGACCCCCAGCAGCATCCCCTGTGGGCTTCTGTCACATCTCTGGAATGTGCTTATCACTGGGCATTCTTATAGTGGAACTCACCCTGTGAAGTTTCTCCCTGTTACTGCCGGTCCTGCCTGTCACGGCCACACAGAAGAACAAGTGCAGGCTCTCATGTAGAGCCTCTGCACATTGAAAAGACCCCAGAGTCTTTTCCCTGGGGTCCACAGGCCTAGACCTCCAGCTACTTCCTGGATGAAGGCTGTATTTGGCATTGGGAAGACTAAATGTGAATCTTCACACTTCTCTTCTCTATCTGTAAAACCTTAAGCTAGTTCCTCAATGTCTTTAAGGCTTGGTTTCATAGCTAGATAGTGGGACTATTGTAAGGTCTTCACAGGGTTATTATGAGATTAAATTAGATAAAGTGAGTGATCCCTCTCCCCACCCTCTCATAGAACCAGAGCACAGTGTGCTTTCTTTAAAGGTTTTTAGTTGTGGGTGTAGTAGCCCCCAGTCTTAAAAGCCTGCTTGCTTGCCCAGCACGGGGCAATCTAGAGACTTCTGCATCTCCTGGCCACTGTGTATGTCTGACAGTGGCCTTGGACAGCTCAGAACCAGAGTCTGGGCATTTTATAGAGAGCAACCTGTGAGTGTCCCTGCTTTCACAATAGATATCCGACAAGGCCACACAGGGTAGATCTAGAGTGTCCCAGCTTGAGGCTGATGCAGAAAGTGAGGGCTGCAGGCCACCCCCTCCTGGTAACCAGCATTACAGGGGCAGAGGAGTGAGGCGGGGCCAGCCTTGATCACTGAGGGGCCAGAGGCCTTGGAGAACCTGACTGGGAGGGAGGAGTCCTCTGGGAGTGGAAGGGGGTGAGGATGGCTGCGGAAGGGCACTTAGGGAGGATCTCAGTGCCTTGGGAAGACTTAACTAAGTAGGAATCAGGCCTCATGGCTGGTTCTACAACAGAGGTCACATAGAGGAGGGAATGATCTGTGAAGATTCATCTGGAAGGGGAAGGCAGGGTGATTTGGGAAAGGCAGGGAGACAGAAGTCCAGATCAGCTTAGAAGCTTGGCAGCCCCCGCCAGAGCACAAGAATCAAGGGTCTGGGCCAGGGCGGTGAGGAGGGGAGAGGAGGCAGTCAAGAGAGCAGACCTCCATGCTCACGGCAAAGGCCGAGGGCCTTGCAGAGCCAGCTTCTCTGAGCTCCTGCCCTCCCTTTTCCTCTCGCACAGCAGTCTGTCTCCTCCAAACAGAGGGTTGCCGGTCTCGACTTCATTCCTGGACTCCACCCTGTTCTGAGTTTGTCCAAGATGGACCAGACGTTGGCCGTCTACCAACAGATCCTCGCCAGTCTGCCTTCCAGAAATGTGGTCCAAATATCTAATGACCTGGAGAACCTCCGGGACCTTCTCCACCTGCTGGCTTCCTCCAAGAACTGTCCCTTGCCCCGGGCCAGGGGCCTGGAGACCTTCGAGAGCCTGGGCGGTGTCCTGGAAGCCTCACTCTACTCCACGGAGGTGGTGGCCCTGAGTAGGCTACAGGCATCTCTGCAGGACATGCTTCGGCGGCTGGACCTCAGCCCTGGGTGCTGAGGCCTCGAAGGCCTTTCTTCCCAAAGTCAAGGAGAAAACCCTGGGCTCCCAGGTGTCCCCAGGAGAGAGCCCATGTGGGTGTCCTTTATCTAGGCCCCAGGCCATTTGTCTCTCACACCTCTGAGCCACTCTTCAAAAGGCATACGCCTTCAAGGCACAAAACGGAAGACAGAATGCATGATTCCGTGCTCACCGGGAAGGGGGACCCACCCAGCAAACAGTGAACCGGACCTGAGGATCCCACAAGAGCCTTCCTTCCTGTGCCCCTCCCCTTTCACCGCATGCTTCAGCGTGACCTGGGGTGATTTCAGGAGGCACCCGCCAAGCCTTTGGACCATCAAAGCGAGGTTCTACCTGAGAATTCTGGGAGCACCGTGACGGTTACATCCACAGAGCTGCAAACCCGCAAGCCACACATTATTTATTATGCATTTTATTCTGGATGGATCTGAAGCCAAACATCAGCTTTTCCAAACTCTCTGGGGCCAGCCAGGGCTGGCTGCTTCCAGCCCCACCGGTGGGCCTGGTGGGGTAAACCCATTTCTAGTGACTTGAGGGCTCTCAAGTTAGTTCTTTGGTAACTGGTTTTGTTTCTACTGTGACTGATGTGAAATTACAGTGTTTGCAATGGCATTGCCCTGAGCAGATCTCCAAGGACCAGGTTCTTTCAAAACGAAGATGAATTTTGTCAAGTGTGATATACAGATGTGTGCACCTGGAGGTGGGGGGGTGTGTTAACGGAAAGAAGAAGGATCAGAATGTATTTTCTGAATTACATTTGTGTGACGGACTCTCCGTATGGGGTGGAGTCATTTTCTCCTCTCTACAGCCACTTAGTGTGGTTTTCTTGAAAATAACAAAGGAGATGACTCCTTCAGAGGGGTTGTGGGGTTTTGCCAGCCACCTATGGAGGGAGGCTGAGACCTGTCTATTGGGACAGTTGTGAGCTCTGGCCTTCTCCGATTGCTGCAGAGAGGTCTTTCTTATCAGGGAGCAAGGATCCCTCACTGGAGACCGTGATCGCCAGAGCAGGGGTCCTTGGTATGGCCCTTGGAATGGTCGGGGATGATCCCACACTGGATTTACAACACAGTGGTACCCCTACTTGGGATTTGCATGCCAGATTGTGGTTCTCATCAGACTGGCTCACCCAAAGCATGACCATGTTTGCTACCCATTCGGTGTGGATTTTTATTCCAGTGAGAAGGTCTGTGGGCTTTAGCAGGTGGTCCCAAGACCTGGGCCAGCACAGCTCAGTGCCAGGACCCCCAGGCCAGGCCGCCAGGAGCGCCCTTCCCACTAGAGGTCATGTTTGGTGGGATGAATGAACAAGGAGGCTTGGGTTTTCCACGGTCCTGCCACTGTGATGAGGCAGTCACATTACAGGTGGTGGATCTGTCCAAGGAAATTCGAATCAAAGCTCTCAACGTTAAGACTGAGCACCTACTTCGTGTTCAGCCCTGATTGGTGCTATGGGTTAAAGAAGCTCACCAAGTGAACATTAAAATCCAGTCTTGCCCTCAGGACCTTGCATTCCAGATGGTAAAAACCCTACACAGCCACACGCAAAGGCTGGCCTTTCACCATGGCAACCAAGCTGCCAAGAGTACGTGCTCCTGGGCAGGGTGGTGTGCTCAGGGGCCCACTGGCTAACCCTGCTTGCACTTGGTAGCGTTTTTGCTTTTCAGGGCCTGGCAGCATTTATTACTGTGTAACCACATCCCATTTTGAAGCAGCTTGGCTGACCGTTTAAAAATAAGAAAATACCTAAGACCGTGACAGCAGATGGGTAGAAGGGCTAAGACTAGAGAGAGTTCAGGTCCTCTGACTCCCCAGAGTGTCTCTGGAGCCAGGTAGTGCTCCCTAGAGGTGCAGATAGCACTGGGCAAGGGAGACCAGGAGTGCTTGTGGGGAGAGAGGAGCTGGAGGCAAATTTGCAGGAGGTGAAGGATGTGACTTGCTGGAGAGAGGAGGCTGTTTTATTCATGCTGAGACACCAGGGTGAAGGCAGATGCAGCCAGTTATAAAGAAAGACAGACAAAGGAAAGATGGGAGGGACAGGGACACGTGGAAGAGGACTTCTGTGGCAAAGAAGTTTGGTATCGAAAGGGTTAAGAGTTGAAAGTTCTAGAGCAGAGCTATTCACGAGATGGACAGAGTAAGGCCCCTTCTGGAGAATGTGACCCAGAGAATCACTACCACCCAGTCAAGCTGGGATCTTTTCATTCACCAAAACCCGGCCTCTGGCTTATTCTCAGAGTGTAAAAGTTCTAAAATGTAAATGATTGTCCTTTTATGTAACTTCGAAAAATTTTTTTGGTTGTTAAAAAAAAATCCAAATAAATTAACTTTGCCCCCTGGTCTTTGTTTTGTGTCACCCCTTGTGGAGGGGCTTTAGAAGAGCTGTGTGTGGGTGACAGGGTACAGCCTGGTTGGCCTCTAACCCCCACCGGGTCCAGCTCTGCCTGGGCTTGGCCACAGCCGGCCGCCAGGTATTCAGGCTAAAGGATTCCCCCAAAGCACAGCGCTGACAAAATGAGCACAGTCTGCGGGTCTGCAAACCAGCCTGGAGAAGCACCAAACCAAATTGTTTTTTTAAACAAAGAAGAAGAAGAAGAAGAAGAACAAAGCCGCAACAGACACACAGCATGCAGCCCAACAGCAGACGCAAGCAGGTGCATAGACCCTGGGAAAGACAGGACCCGCCTCGTTCCGGGCACAGAGCATAACCGTCTCTGCAGTACAGTGAGGACCCGTGACAGTTCCAACCCGGGGAGGACTGGGGATGGGGTGGGGGGCTGGCCCATCCAACAATCACTTCCATGGGTGATTTCAAAGCATGGTTGACAGCGACCAGTGCTTTCCTGTGTACTCGTTTAAGTGGTGGAGGAAAGGGAGACAGAGCTCCTGAATGAGGAGACACCGCAGCCGTGTAAGGGGGTATTGGGTAAGGCTGGAACAGCCTAAATGGGTCACTTGGCAGCTCAGGGAAGTTGCTGGCCTCTGTACCCAGGAAGATTCCTTTAGGTGCAAGTGACAGAAACCCAATGCAAACCAACCAAGTATATAAGGATTTGGGGCCCACACGGCTGAGCAGCCTAGCTAGGCCTCTTCCTCTGCACTCGTCCCTAAGGACCTAGCAAGGTACAATGCCATGATCTCCCCAGTCCCTGACAGGGGCTTGAGGACAATGGGTTTGCCCCTTGGTGACCATCTGGGACTGAGATGTCTAGTTTCTGAACACTCATGAGCCTTAGAAGCTCCCCAAAGTGGTCTGGAAGGCAGCCTACCGTAACACGGGTGTCTCAGCAGAGGCCTGGAAATGTCATTCCCTTCTCGGTGAGGTGACTCACAGGGTCAAAGTGGAAGGGTATGTTCTTCAAGGACCCTTCCAGAACCTTTTGCATCTGTGGGCATTCTCTTGCTCTCCCCCGAGGCAGAGCTCACATCTCCCAAACAGCTGGCAGAGACTGGGGTCATGTCTGACCATGTCCAACCTCCGAAGGCAGGACTTTTGCAGAGTAGTGAGAAAGAGGTCAGGTCTGCCCAACAGGAGCTGTCAGAAGACGCCATCTCAGATTTCTGCACAAGAGCGTACAAGCAAAAAAAATGACACCCCATTTCCCCCCAAAGAATTTGGAGTTGAGTACAGAAATCGGTTGCATTTTTATACACCAACAATGAAGCAACAGGAAGAGAAATCAAGAAACTGATCCCATTCACAATTGCACAAAAAACCATAAAATACCTCGGAATAAACCTAACCAAGGATACAAGAGATCTGTATGATGAAAACTATAGAAAACTTATGAAGGAAATTGAAGAAGACACAAAGAAATGGAAAAACATTCCATGCTCATGGATAGGAAGAATAAATATAGTTAAGATGTCATTACTACCTAAAGCACTCTACACATTCAATGCAATTCCAATCAAAATTGCACCAGCATACTTCTCAAAACTAGAACAAACTATCCAAAAATTTGTATGGAACCACAAAAGACCCCGAATAGCCAAAGTAATACTGAAAAATAAAACCAAAACGGGAGGTATCACCATCCCAGACTTCAGCCTCTACTACAAAGCTGTCATCCTCAAGACAGTATGGTATTGGCACAAAAACAGACACATAGACCAATGGAACAGAATTGAGAACTCAGAAGTGGACCCAAAAGTATACAGCCAACTGATCTTTGACAAAGCAGGAAAGAATATCCAATGGAAAAAAGACAGCCTTTTTAACAGATGGTGTTGGGAGAACTGGACAGCAACATGCAGAAGAATGAAACTAGATCATTTTCTCACACCATGCACAAAAATCAACTCAAAATGGATAAAGGACCTGAACGTGAGACAGGAAACTATCAACACCCTAGAGGAGAAAGCAGGAAACAACCTCCTTGACCTCCACCGCAGCAACTTCTTACTTGACACATCCCCAAAAGCAAGGGAATCAAGAGCAAAAATAAACTGTTGGGACCTCATCAAGATTAAAAGCTTCTGCACAGCCAAGGAAACAACCCAGAAAATTAATAGGCAACCAACGGAATGGGAAAAGATAGTTGCAAATGACATATCAGATAAAGGGTTAATATCCAGAATCTATAAGGAACTCACCAAACTACACGCCCGAAAAACAAACAACCCAGTGAAGAAATGGGCAGAAGACATGAACAGACACTTCTCCAAAGAGGACATCCAGATGGCCAACAGACACATGAAACGATGCTCAGCATCCCTCCTCATCAGGGAAATACAAATCAAAACCACACTGAGATACCACCTCACGCCAGTCAGAGTGGCTAAAATGAGCAAATCAGAGAACTCTAGATGCTGGCGAGGATGTGGAGAAACGGGCACCCTCCTACACTGTTGGTGGGAATGTAAACTGGTACAGCCCCTCTGGAAAACAGTGTGGAGGTTCCTCAGGAAACTAACAATAGAACTCCCTTATGACCCAGCAATAGCACTGCTAGGAATTTACCCAAGGGATACAGAAATGCTGAGGCATAGGAGCACATGTACCCCAATGTTCATAGCAGCACTCTCCACAATAGCTAAAACATGGAAAGAGCCTAAGTGTCCATCAACAGATGAATGGATCAAGAAGATGTGGTTTATCTATACCATGGAATACTACATGGCAATGAGAAACAATGAAATCTGGCCATGTGTAGCAACATGGATGGACCTTGAGGGTGTTATGCTGAGCGAAATAAGTCAGGCAGAGAAGGACAAATATCATATGTTTGCACGTATAGGAGGATTAGGAGGAACTTGACGGAGGAACAAGGGGGAGAAGAAGGGCGGAAATGGTGGGGGAAAGGGAGAGAGGCAAACCATGAGAGACTCTTGAATGCTGACAAAAACTGAGGACTGATGGATGTGGGGGGGAGGGGGGGATGGGCATGGAGGAGGACACTTGTGGGGATGAGCACTGAGTGTTGTGTGGAAACTAATTTGACAATAAACTATTTGTAAAGAAAAAAAATAATAAAATAAAATTAAATAAATAAAGGCAAAAGCAAAAAAAAAAAAAAAAAAAGAATTTGGAGTTGAGTTGTTTATTCCAGGCTTTTACCATGAAGATCTGAGTCTAGTGCCATCTGACAACCCGGATTCACCTGGATTAAGTTCACTGGTCCATTGTCACCCTCAGCCCTTTGGGGTCCTTGCCCCAGGAACGCACTATCTCAGACCTGAGATGGTAGAGTGAGTCAAGGATGCAAAGAAGGTAATGGAGCCTCTACTCCCAGCCCTCATCTAGACCCCAGCTCCCAGCACAGAGGGTATGTAACCCTTAGTTAACCCTTACTTAACCCTCTTAGCCTCAGTTTGTTATCTGTACAATGGGAATATAATAGCACCTTCATCACAGGCCTTTAGAACATATTTGGGGAAGCTATTAGCCCAATGACTGATATACAAAAGCAGTCAAAAAATCATGTTGTTGTTATTAGTACTAATGAGTCAGGGAAGCAAAAGGAGTGAGAATTGCTGTAGTGGGCAGCCCTCCTTGAGGTAGCCACAGCTTTGGTAGGGACGCCTGTGCACAGGGCTCCCTGCATCTCCTCTCTTGACTCCTCAGGGAGCCCTCTCAGCCTCTACGGGGCAGCCAGCAGGTGAGGGGGGGAGGGAAGGCCCAGAGGAGCAAATCTCAACCAGTGAGGTATAAGGGTCTGTGCGTAAATGCCCCAGCCTCCTCCCCTCTGTGGGGGGCAATTTTAAGGTGTGTTCTGTAGGACTGGGGCCTGGGTGCGTCGTACACCAGTCACATGCATGTGACACATCAGCTTCTCCTCTCTCCTGGCCCCACTGTCCCTGCTCCTCACCCCTGCCTCCTAGGGTCGCCTCCTAAATACGCCTCCTGCACCAGAACCCTTGTCTCCAGCGCTGCTCACAGAGGAACACAGAACAAGACAAGTACGAGGCAAATGGAGACGGATATGGAGGCTGGGAGAACCGTGAAGCCAGATCCCAGAGACCTGTAGGAACCACGCACCAGAACTCAGAACTGTCCCTAGGAACCTAAGGGAGAAAAGGAGAGGAGGCTCCGGAGGAAAAAGGAAATCCACTTGGGGAAAGCCTGACATGGGAAAGAGAGCAAGGACAGGAAAAGGAATCTATTAAATAGAAGAATTATAAGATTAATAAGGAAGGGAAGGGAAGGGGAAGGGAGAGAAGGGGATGGGAAAAGAAGGAAGGAAGGAAGGAAGGCAGGCAGGAAGGCAGGAAGGAAGGAAGGAAATGAAAAGAGAAGACATACATATAAGGTTAACATTGCCAGGGGCACCTGGGTGGCTCAGTCAGTTGAGTGTCTGACTTCAGTTCAGGTCATGATCTCACGGTCTGTGAGTTGGAGCTGCACACCGGGCTCTGTGTTGACAGCTCAGAGCCTGGAGCCTGCTTCAGATTCTGTCTCTCTGACCCTCCCCTGCTCACACTCTCTTTCTGTCTCTCAAAAATAAATAAACTTTAAAAAATAAACAAGCAAGCATTGCCTGTCTTCGTGCATGCAGGCTGCTATAACTGAATACCAGAGGCTGGGTGGCTGAGAGACAATAGAAATTTACTTCTCACGGTTCTGGAGGCTGGAACTTCAAGATCAAGGTGCCAGACGATTCCATGTCTGGTGACCACCTGCCTCCTGGTTTATAGACCGCATCTTTGGCTGTGTCCTCACCTGATGGAAGGGGCAAGGGAGCTCTCTGGGGTCTCTTTCATAGGGCACTAATCTCCTTCATGAGGACCCCCTCTCATCCCCACCCTCATACCCGAATCACTTCCCAAAGGCTCCACCTCCTAATACCCAGCCTTGGAGGTTAGGATTTAACATGCGAATTCTGAGGTGACACAAACA